TGTTTTTGGAGTTGTTTTGGAAATACACATTTACTGTAGCATTTGGAATGTGAAAAACAGTTTTTCAAAAACAACCCAAAAAACAGGGGATCCAAACACACCCTTAATTAGGCTCCGCCTGCTAGTTATAATACGATAGTATATGTATTTCTGTTTGTAAAGGAAAAAATAAAAAAATATTAATGGCCATTTGATGAAGAAGAACGGTAGGAAGATAGCATAAGAGTTTTCTTTTGTTAGAAAAAAGAAAAAAAAAATAAATTCTTATTGTCCATTTGAGGCAGGGGTGGCAATCGGGGCTGAAACGGGTTAACAGGTCAGGTTGAGATCCGCATATAACAGATAACCTGCTGACCCGAACACGACCCGTCAAATCCAAAATGGGTCGGGATACTTGATCCGAACTTGAAAATTTCGAATTGATGGGTTGGTGGGTCAGCACAAATGACCTGAAACATAATTTTAATTTACTAATTTACCGTTGTAGTTTCTAACATAACCAATTTCGCACAAGGATAATTACATAATCAAGTAATAAAAATATTGACAAAACAATCCCAAACCAGATTTGAAATAAATTAAAACACTGTAAAAATATTTTAGCTCAAACTACATCTAAAATAAATTAAGATACTATAAAAATAGAAAACAATGTAATATATCATTTGTCCAAATATAATAATTCCAATTTCACACAAATTAAACAAATTCATTTAGAATTAAGTGGTTAACACCTTTGGGGAAAAAAGAATAACTTAGTTTAGTTAGATAAAATATTTTTATATTTATTAAATTATTTTTAATTCATAAACAGGTTATCGGGTAAATCTCATAAGTGACCTGAATTCGATCCTTTTTGTTTTTCGGATTCATCGGGTTCGATTCAATTTTGATCCGAATCCCTGAAGTCTCAATTCAAATCAATTTATTTCGTGTTAGGTTTGCGTTGTATTTTCAGATCGCGTCGAAAATTACTACTCCCTAATTTGAGGGATAACAAAAGAAGCTTCATGAACTTTAGATATTTTGTTGGCTAACCATTTGATCTTGTGGTCACATAAAGTTGGAGATGGACTGGGAACTCCAGGCCCCCGCTCCCTACTGCCATTTGGAATTAAATTTGTCTGGACTACCGTTCCAGACGTCTGTACACTCTTCTGCTCTTTCTTCATCAACATCAACGTGTAACTGTAGTAATTGAATTACCAGTCCATTGAATGGTTCTCGCATCAAACTTATATAACTGTAGTAATTGCTTGGAATAGAGTTGAAGCATGGCTATCCACTTTATTGGTCCAGAGCATTCAGAAAGTGCCTGGACACAGTGCATTATTTTACTATTGGGATCAATTATTGCCCCCTTTCGATTTAGGTTTCTTTCTTTCATCTTCACCCTTTTATCTCCATTAGTTTATGAGAATACTTCTTGCTTTAACAAAATAAAACTAATTGCTTCACATGATATTTGAGCTGCTCCTTCTACAAAACATGAGTCTTGAGATTCAGTTTTCAGATACTCCAATAGTGAAACAACATTTTCTGTGGACTGATAAAAAAAAAAAAAAGAAGAAACAATTTTCACATTAGTCTAGCATGTTACATCATTAGTCTCTAAAACAGCTACTTATCCTATTTACCAAAACCCAAAGTTTATTTGCACTTTCTTTGTGCTGTCCCAATTCAGAATTATTTCATATGAATATTATCAAAAAGTACCTTGTGAGCTTATGAATGGAAGTGAAGTTCAAACGTTAACCTCAAAATTTCAGAACCCAGAAGCATCCACTTTGTTTGTATGCAGTCCAACCAATCATCAAACCACATATTCCCCCTGAGAAAGGCAGAAACCACACTCCACTCACCAGGTCCATATAATAATAAAATTTTTGTGGCAGTTAGAAATTCATCAGCCAGTGCCGAGATTTCCCATTTCTAGACATGCATCTGTCAGCCTCAACAACCACCGTATAAAAGCCTCCCATACCTCTCCCTCGGTCCCTCCTAACCAACTTTTGAACTCAAATCTTGAAGCTGGCTTCTTGAAGTTCGCAAGCATCAACAAGAAACTTACCAGCTATCCCATTTTTCCTGATAACACTAATGGCTTCCTCTGTCTCAACTTTTGGAGCAGTTAATAGAGCTCCGGTACTGTGTTTTCTAGCCATCTTATCTTTACACTCTAGCCCAGAAAAACAAAAAGGGTCTTTGAGTTCATCGAACTTGTAATGACTTTACTGTTTGAAGATCATCTTATTGTGAAAATCGTATCTTTTGTCTCAACTAACTTGGACAGCAAAAACCATTAGAGCACTTCATTTTTTTGCTTGTTAAAGCATAAGTATTGAGTTTCTAAAGTATTTGTCCAGTGATGGAGGAAGTGTTTGTCAAATTTTGATCCGTTAGAGTACTTCATTTTTTTCCCTCCGTATCTGGAGAAACAGATTCTTGAATTAGTTTTCCTTTTGGTTGAGGAAAGTCACTTTATGGTGATCAATCTGAGTGTAATAAGGAATTAATTAGCCAGTAATTTGATATAACTAGGATGGGATGTCTAGATAGTTTCAATTCTTGTACTGCATTATCTCTGAATCAATTGATACACTTGGTGCAGTTGAGCATGAATAGTTGCAGCGCGGGAACATCAGTTCCAGGCACAGCTTTCTTTGGCAAAAGTCTAAAGAAAGTTGCATCCAAAGTAGTCAGCCCCAGTTATTCATCTGGAAATTTGAAGATTGTTGCGGAAGGGGACGAGCAGAAACAGACCAAAAAGGATAGGTGGCAAGGGCTTGTTTACGACGTCTCGGATGATCAACAGGATATTACCAGAGGAAAAGGAATGGTGGACACACTCTTTCAAGCTCCTATGGGTGCTGGCACTCATGATCCAGTCTTGAATTCTTATGAGTATATTAGCACCGGTCTTCGCCAGTAAGGAGTTCATCTATTGATCTTACAGAGGTTTCGAGCAATTTGTAATTTGGACTCAAGTGCCTAATGGAATTTGGTTTCAATGTGCAGATATCAATTGGACAACAATATGGATGGCCTATATATTGCTCCTGCTTTCATGGACAAGCTTGTTGTTCACATTAGCAAAAATTTCATGAATCTGCCAGGCATTAAGGTTTGCTATTCTTCAATTTGCTAAAGGTTTGAGTTGAATATCTTTCCAGATGAAACGGAATTTTTATAGATTTCTCAAAATTTTACAGATTCCCCTGATTTTGGGCATATGGGGAGGCAAAGGACAGGGAAAGTCATTCCAATGTGAACTTGTATTCGCCAAAATGGGCATCAAGTGAGTTAACTTTTCCATCTTTTAGGCATTAGATTTAGTCAAAACATAAACCAGAACTGCATGAGTTTAATGGACAACTCAAAATTGAGAAGCAAAAGTTATGTGCTTCATTCTTCTTAAATAAATTTTCTGTTTTAAATTGTTAGCCCCATTATGATGAGTGCTGGAGAACTGGAAAGTGGAAATGCTGGCGAACCAGCAAAATTGATTAGGCAAAGGTACCGCGAGGCAGCAGACAGAATTTCTAAGGGGAAAATGTGCGTCCTCTTCATCAATGATCTTGATGCTGGAGCTGGTAGGCTTGGGGATACCACACAGTATACAGTTAACAACCAGATGGTGAATGCAACTCTGATGAACATTGCTGATAATCCCACCAATGTTCAGCTGCCTGGTATGTACAACAAGCAGGAGAATCCTCGAGTTCCGATCATAGTCACAGGTAATGACTTCTCCACCTTGTACGCCCCTCTCATCCGTGATGGTCGCATGGAGAAATTCTACTGGTCTCCAACCAGAGAAGACAGGATCGGTGTCTGCACCGGTATCTTCCGAGCTGACAATGTACCAAGGGAGGACATCGTGAAACTTGTTGACACCTTCCCTGGACAATCAATTGGTATGTTCAGTCAGTGTGATTATTTACCGAGGGACCAAATTAAACTGCAAAGTTCTGCCTAATCATCACAACTAGCTGTTTACTTTTGCAGATTTCTTCGGTGCCATCAGGTCAAGAGTGTATGATGATGAAGTTAGGAATTGGATTGGAAGCACTGGGGTGGGAAACATTGGAAAGAGGCTGGTGAACTCGAGGGAGGCACCCCCAACCTTTGAAAAACCAAAAATGACACTTGACAAGCTCCTTGAGTATGGAAACATGCTAGTCCAAGAGCAGGAGAATGTGAAGAGAGTCCAATTATCCGACAGGTACTTGAAGGAAGCGGCACTTGGAGATGCAAACGAGGATGCTATCAATAATGGATCTATCTATGGTTAGCACTCAGCTCCCTTCATCCTAGGCCTTTTATGAGAGTTTGAAACTTGCTTTTACCGTGAAATGGAAATGTTAAGTTGGGAAAAAATTTTCAAAAAACCGTTCTTTTCATTGTCTGGATGCAGGAAAAGCAGCCCAACAAGTTCATGTTCCTGTCCCTGAAGGCTGCACTGACCCAAATGCAGCAAACTTTGATCCAACTGCTAGGAGCGACGACGGAAGCTGCATGTATCAGGATTAGAAACTTTCCGCTTAAGGCTATTCAATATACTAATTACTACCAGTATCTTTTCTGCAACTAGTGATGCGAATTCTGTTCCATATCACATTTTAGCATCACCAAATTCTCTCGATAATTACTGTATATCTGCCTACAATGGCTTTGCAAGATCAGATTTTTGCCTTCTATTTTACCCTTTTCTTTTTTGATATGTTTCTTGTACGAAGTTCCATTAGCCAATCCGATTTCCTTGCAGCCCCTGCGTTGCTAATTATAGAACATGATATCCTTCTACATCGACTTTGCTAAGCTGAATGATTAGTTTCTTGAAGTGGAATACTAAAGTTTTTGCAGCCAAAAAGTCCACAGAATAAAAAGGAATGCATTTTGGGTACTTCTATCAATTCCCATCTCAACCTTCTGAACCTTAATCAACGATTAAGCCACCCAATCTAATGCAACATGTGCCAGAGGTCACAGAGTACAGGTGGATGCAAGATTGGTCTTTCACAAAGGAAATACAAAAACACTTGCGTGTTTGTTTCTTTACATAAAATTCGATCCAGAACAAGAATTCCAGCCTGAACTGCATAATTATTTGGTCAAGCCAATACTTTAAATAACAAGGATGAGGAGAACAACACAAGGGAATCAGGGATTCAATCCTGCCAGACACGAGTTCCTACTTCCTTCTAGTTTCTTGGATATAACGCTGACCAAGTTGTAGAAAAAGCAAGAAACAGTAGTCGATACTAGTAAGATATGTATCATTCCTGGCAGAGACGAATCTTCCCCAAAATCAACCGATCATAGGTGCCCGTGAGACTTTTCCTGAGGAGTCAGTGAAGATTCGCACCCGGTCTGTTCTGAAATCCATTGTAACGAAATAATCAGGAGGAATCACATGAACGTTAACTCCAGGTATCTCTTCCTTGATCCTTCTTTCTGCTTCTTCACTTGTTAATCCCACCAACTCCGGCCATGTTTTTCTCTCACCTGATCCACCACCACCATACCGGTATCCTATCCAACAAAAAAAAAATTGTATCAGCAGAGTTATCGAGAATTTCTTCTTGATAGAATGCTCCAACTTTTTTCTAACTCCACTATTGACATCTTATGACTCGTTACACTTAATTTTCAACATATGCTTCTAAATCTGTAAAATTAACCGATTAAGAATCTAACAATCCATTAATCTTCAAAGCATTAGAATCCTGATTCCAAGGAGTGATAGTACTATGATGCCAGTTTCATTTACTTGCCGAAAGAACATTCCATTTTTCCCTTGAACAAGGAGTTTTGGACCCGTTCAAAAGTTTAAATTTGATGATGTATAGACTGAGAGGCAAGGGAAGTGTTACCTGGTAAGGTTGGTAATGGCTGCTGAGGTTGGTCGTTGGAGATTGCATTTTGCTTGCTATCCTCTTCAGCCATGACTGATAAGCTTTAAAATTTAGATCAAACAATGGGGACGACAGGTGTTTGCTTGGTACTAACCCCAATGTCCAACGTAGTATTTAAAGATTTTTAAAGATTAGGAGCAACATTTCACCCCATCACCACCCATCCGAAACAAAAAAGGAACCTATACAGATAAGTTAAAAGGAAATCATTGGGAATGGGGAAGGACTTTTAAAATCTTTTTTATTATCACGCTCAGAGCTCAAATCCTGACATTTGGAAAATTGATTTAACTGGTAAGACTCAAAATCCCTTAATGGTGGGTTCGAGTAAGGATGGCAATGGGGTGGGTGACCGTGGAACCCGTCCCGTGAGGAATTAATGGGGCGGGGGTGGGGCAGAGGCAGGGGGAATTTCTTCCCCCCGTTTAGAAACTGAGCCAGGGACGGCCCGTCCCGCCATCCGCTTTAAAAAAGTAAATATATAAAATATATATGTATATAATTATATATATAATATATAATTTAATTAGTTATAAACTTATGATAATGATATTATTAGTTATATGTATTATATAATGTATATTAGTATATGTAATATAATTGATACTATCAATTATATTAATAATTATATATGTGTACTAATACAAATTATTAATTGTTATACTAAATTTACTAATACATTTATACTAAATCTCTAATTACACCTAATACAATAACATTTTTTTCTTAAAAAAAAAGCACAAGCACAATAATGAATTAGTGATTGTATTTGTGCCAAAAGTGAAAACTTGACTACTTTAGTTGTATTTATTTCATCATGTTAGATTGTATTCAAATAACTTTTGTTTGATTGTTTTTATAAGTTTCAATTGTGAAATTACAAAGAATAATAAATTGGTGATGTGTTGATATTTTAGTACTTGATTATTTGCTAAAATTTAACTATAATAAAATTATATAACAAATTTTTATTAGTCCCACGGGTGAAGCGGGTCAGGGGGAACGAGGGACGGGGGGACGTGGCGGGAGCGGGGAGGATTTGTAGGCCCCCGTCCCCCGCTCCAACCCTGCCCCATTGCCATCCCTAGGTTCAAGTAAGATGCACTACCAACAGTCTCTTATTGATGGGCTATATGTAAGAATTAGAGTAAGCCACCAAAAAATCATCCCTTGCTTACTTTAATTTTAAAATCGCTAACCTCCCTTATTCCTAATTTATTAATTTATTATGAATTATTATTTTATGCATTGCTAGTATATATACTGTCAAGTTTAAAAGCATGTCAACTAATATTACTTTAAATTTTACATGTACCATGATTCTAAATCCCTTCACATATATATCTTTAATATATAGTGGATTAATAATTTATTATTATCAAAAGCTTTGTAGACTTGCGTTTGCTTTGCATTCTCCGTCTCCCAAATGGAATATTGCCGGCCAGCAACTAGACCACATCAAACATCCTCCAAGCTCGTCATTTCTTCTTTCTAGCCTGTGTTTCTAATGGACCACTATGGATCCTTTTTGGCCCAATTACAATATGTAGCCCTGGCCAACGAGCCAGAGACTCCTGCCCGAAAAGTACGCCCACATTTCCTGCACTGGACCAAAGGAGAGTCGTAGTTTGCCATTGAAAAACAACGCCGAGGAGATAGCCCAGAACTAGTTTGGGCTGGACCCACAATTCCTTTGGATTTTTCATCAATGATGGCTGCTTGAAAGTGTTTGATTAAGCCTAAAAGATTCTAGTATTTAAATTTGTTTGTTTAATTTTAACAAATTTGAAATTATTTATAGGTTTGGTTAGTTTATTTGTCAAGCCAATGCAAATGACTTCTTATCGAGTCAAACGTAACTCTAGCTCAAATGGTTTGAATATCTTATAGATTAAATCTTTATTTTTATACTAATCGATCGAGTTTGAAACCTTATTAAACACAAAATATTATTTATTTTGATTTAATTAGTTGACAGACCAAACTGAATGAGTTGTTATTGAGTTGAGTTGTATTCGAATGTCAAATAGTTTGGTTGCTCTTTTAATCCTAATAGAGTGCACAAATTGGATCACTTTTGGCAAAACTTGTTTAGAGGCAAGGCAAGCTTGAACTCCCACTATTTCACAGGGGATGATTATTTTATTTCCTGTCCCTTTTTGGTTGAGAGGAGATGGTAGTAATATGTGCAAGCCATTGTAGCTTTTTAGCAGAGTTTGGTCCTCCCACTCACTTTAAAAAAAATAATAATAATAAAGAAATAAACCCATGCTTGAAACAAAGAAGCAATAAATTTTCTTTTGAACGATTGGGGGCCAAACCAAATGAGCAAAACATTGGCATGCAGGCTGCCGACCTTGTGAATAGGCGTTTACTTAAGCCCAGCCATTTTTCACCGGAAAATTGCATTATTTTTCGTGATTATATTTTTCTATTATCTTTTTTTTTTTCATATACATCAAATCGCTACAGTAATTTTTCTACAAAAAAAATCCTAAAAAATGCAATCCAAACACAACCTTACATTTCTAAACTATTGCTTTTGGAATAGGGCAGGTTCTTGTTTCGAATTCGACAAATTCTCTATTTCCAGCTTTCAATTTGTTGAACCTTTTCACGAAGCAAGACTTTAGCATAGTGGAATTTTATGAAATAGCCTACAGCAAATGAAGAAATGGGAAGAAGAAAAACACATGGCACCTCAGAAAAGTTTCCTATTTTTTGAACATAGGAGACAATAAAAAATTTAAATCAATCAAAAGTCATTGAAGTACTGTCACACATCAGCCTTCGATGATGATTGTCTCCCATCATCCCATTTCTATTAATAAGAGCTCATCCCTTGTACAACTTGGCTCTCAAACGTGTCGGGCATAAATATCATCTCAAGTTGGTCCAACCAAAAAAAGGAAAAAAAAAAAAAGAGAGAAAAGAAAAAGCATTTATCCAGTTACACCTACCAAGGGAGCTTACCAAACTCCTGTCAAAAACTTGGTGAAGTAGATTCATCCACTTTTCTATTTTGTGATTTGTATGTTTACCTTACTTCCGTGATCATTCAAATTCTTTAACAAAAAATTTGGACAGACATTAAGTAGGCGATGTTTGTTAATCATTCTTGACATAGAAGTACAGGTTGAAAAAAATGAACTTACTCATCCTTTGAATCTTTTTATTCTACACCAAAATATATGACGTTGGTGTTTAACAAATGTTGACTAATTATACACACACTACTGTCTAGTAGAAGCGGCTACGGTTCTAGAATCACTAGTTCCGATTTAAAAACCATCTATTTCAATTTTTTTTTTTGAAAGGTGAAATTGGAAATGGCTCTTATAAGGTTGGTTATGGTTACGGTATAGAAACCTCCAATTTTGGTTTCAGTTATTTCCAGGTATAGTTTTAGTTCATTCTAATTATACATAAATGATGTTTGATAATTTAATTCAGTATTTTAATTTAATGGGTTAAGATCTTATCATATTCAGACACATTTGATGAAAAAAATAGAACATCCTAATTAATTAAATAACAATGAATTTTCTAAGTAAAACTTATTTCAAAAAATAAGTAATAAACTATTCAATTATCACTTAATGCAAAATATACTCAAATATTAAGATTTAATACTTAACAATGTTATAATTTAATAGATTCCAAATTTTAGATTTCAAATTTTAGTTTTTAGACTTTAATTTTATCAAATGTCCCCTCCCCTTAATCATTTATGTGTATGGCATTTAAGGGGATCGAACCAACTGACAGCTGATCGATGTTCTTTGGCTGGCTTGTTAAAATAAATGATTTAGTTGCAACATATGGTATCTACCCCAAATTCCTGGGTTGGTACATGACAAGCGATAACCAGAGCAATTATTTTCTTGTCAGAGCACCGCATTTTACTCAAATGTTAAATATTACCCTCCATCAATCAATTTTATATGTGTTGATTTATTTTTCTAGCATCCATTATGCATTAATTACATCTCTTTTTTTTTTCTCTAAATACGTATTTTTTTATTAGGGTCTCTCACTCTTCTTATTATTCTTATTTCTCTCTTTCTCACACACACACACACTAATACATCTATTATTGTACAATTAATTGAATAGTGTTGTTTTTGCATTAATCTTTCCTTATATCTTTTTGGTTCTATGCGTTGTTCCTTTTTTATTCAATTTTAAAACTTTTATTTATTCATTTTTTGCAAATAAAACTTCATTTAATTCCAACAAATTTCAGGTTAAAATAATTATTATTATGGTGCCATTGTAACTCGATATTTTAGCATAATTTTTTTGGACATTTAACATGCATTTTTTAAATTCTGCTTGTTTATCATGCCTCTAAGCAGCTAATACTGTTAAAACTTTATCATCTTTTTCTCTTTTATACTTGTCATATAAATCTTGACTTTTATCTTTTGTCAAGTATTCATATTTATCATGCAAGTCTTGAATTTTATCAAGCATTTATATTCTCTAATAATTAGATGAAAATACGTTTAAATTACTTTATGTTATATATCCCATGAATATTGAAAGGAAAGTAAGGCTGTTTTTTGGGATTATTTTCATTTTAGACTATTATTTATTTTGATTTAAATTACATTGTGTTTGAAAAAGGAACCTTTTGAGTAAAATTTTTTAAATAAAAAAATTTAAGAGCATGTAAAATTAATATACAAGAAATTATAAAAGCCAAAACCAATTTAGTAAATCATGACAATAATTGATGAATTGATGTGAGGGAGAGATATATAGAGAAGAATATGAATGACTGAGTAGTGTAAAACTTTAATTAGAGAGAGAGAAGAAAAGGAATAATTAGTGCTTAATGGATTTCTAAAAAAATCAAAAAGAATATATGGAGTTGATTGAGGGTAATCTTGGTATTTGAGAAAAATTTGATCTGGCAAGAACATTATTGCTTTGGAAATATTGCCAGCCGTTAGTACATTACATGAGATCAACCTACATGTATTTTCTGTGGATGCTATACGATAATTTGTGCTGAGTTAATTGCATAATTACAACAATGTCACTGTGTTATTAGTATCACAAGTTTATCGGTTGTCCCAAAAGAACAAAAAATCAGAATTTTTTTGATTGTGATGCAAATGATTTGTTAGCATAATTATAATTATACTAGAAATAATTATGCTATGATTACACTAGCAAATCATGCTTAGACAGATTTGTATGCAAAACAAATCTACTATAACTATGCTAACATGATTATGTTTGACTATGCTGTGGCGAGAATATTTACTCGTTAACTTTATTGAATGCAAAGTGGCCTTAGCTCATTGATTTGCATATTGTCAATTGGCCATCCGACAATCACCACGCATGGTAGAAAATGTGAGGCCAAGAATCTTAAGCCACATTTGGATTGTTATTTTTAAAAGTTTTTGTTAAAAAATATACTGTATCGATTTGATAA